GGGCGGCGCTGCAACTTATTTGGCTGCTTCTTGCTCCTTGTGGCCCGAATGAGGGCTCCAGGGGCGGGGCTTGTTGCATGTGCCCGCCCCCTGAATACCTTACTGCCGGAGCTCTGCTCCTATGCACTCCCGCAGGAAATGGCCCTCTTCTTCCACATTCTTTGCTCCCTTCACAAACGAAACCCGCCATTGTTTTCTATTCGCATTCGGGGATGGGGGAGTGGTACTGGGGGCATATGGTGATGAGGCAGGCATCTCTGCCCCCTAAGGGATTCGAGAGAGAGAGACCTGCATCTTTTGGAAGGGGGGGGGGGAGAACCAAAGCAAGGGAACCTCATGTAGGGGGAAATTGCCTTTCCCAGGAGGGGCGCGCGGTCACATCCAAGAAGCCACCTCCTCGCTTGGTCTCACTTTCTTCCGAGCCAAGAGGAAAAGGGTGAACCCGCGTTTTGGTTTGGGTGCGGGAAAGGAGACCAGCCAGGCTTACGTGGTCTGGATCCAGCTGGCAGTGCCGCGCCAGGGCGTGAAGCAGCCTCTGAATGTAGGCCTTGAAGATGCTGTGGATGACGGCGTCCTCGGTCTTGTACAGGTGCTCCCCCAGCCGATACCAGAAGTTGAAGGAAATCTCCACCACCTGGGGAAGGGCGGAAGCGTGTTTTGAACTAGTGGCCGCCCCCCCGTCCCTTCTACCGGCAGACACACAAAAGAGCAATGCCTGGTGCTGCAATTTGGCATCTCTGCACCCCACCCCAACAGCCATTCAATCTTCTCTGCCTTGCAAAGGCACTACATTGCTGCTGGCTTCCTACCTCATACTGCGGGTGGCCTGCGCAGATCAAGAGCAGCTCTATAGTCCGCAAGTCCCCCAGGCCGTGGCCTGGAGTGCAGACGATTTTATCCAGGAACGTCTCGCAGAGTTCAGTAAAGATCCGGCAGTAATTCAGAACCCTGAAAAAGAGGAATGGGGCAGTGCAGGTCACTGAGCGAGAGCCTTCGCCGTGGGAAACCCCAGTGTCAAGAAGAGAAGAGATTGGATTTATACCCTGCCCTTCACTACCCAAGGGAGTCTCAGAGCGGCTTACAAACTCCTTTCCCTTCCCCTCCCCACAACAGACACCCCCTGAGGTAGGTGGGGCTGAGAGAGCTCTTGACAGAAACTGCTCTTTTTCAAGAACACCTCTTATCAGAACTACGGCTTGCCCAAGGTCATCCAGCCAGGTGCAAGTGGAGGAGTGGGGAATCAAACCCGGTTCTCCCAGATTAGACCCACGCACCAGAAGACAGGAGGGCCTGGTGTGATGTGGTCCAGGGGGTCGCGAAGAGTCAGACTCAACTGTACGACTGAACATCAACAACTACCAGGAAGATCAATGTGCCTCTTTTGTAAATGTGGCCAGCTCGCTTCAGACTTCAGACTTTTGAAGGAGTTTACATCACAGTCTGGCTTGTTTCGTTTATTTAACTCATTTATACCCCAGGCCTTTCTCTCCAGCTTGGAAAGCCAGCTTGGCATAGTGGTTAAGAGCGGCGGACTCTAAACTGGGAGAACTAGGTTTGATTCCCCACTTTCCCGCATGCAGCCAGCTGGGTGACTTTGGGTCAGTCACAGTTCTCTCGGAGCTGTACTCTCAAGAGCAGTTCTCTCAGAGCATTCTCAGCCCACCTTCCTCCCAAGGTGTCTGTTGTGGGGAGGGGAAGGGAAAGGAATTTGTGAGCCGCTCTGAGACTCCTTTGGGTAGTGAAGGGCGCGGTATAAATCCAATCTCCTCTTCTCTCAAGAGCAGTTCTCTCAGAGCATTCTCAGCCCACCTTCCTCACAGGGTGTCTGTTGTGGGGAGGGGCAGGGAAGGAGATCGTAAGCCACACAGAGAATCCTTCAGGTAGTGAAAAGCAGGGTATAAAAACCAACTCTTCTTCTTCCAAGGAAAAGTTAGGCTTGCACCCCAGGTAACCTTGCTCACTCAGGTAACTTGTTGAAGCAACCCATGGAAATATGGGGATGTGCACCCCCCACCCCAGGGTCCCACACTTCTCCAGGTGACCCAGTTCTGCTGCTCAGTGGGTTACCTTTCCCAGTGGCAGCTATTTTTCTTGCTGGAAAAATATTCTATAGAAGAGCCATACGTCCCCAACTACCAACATGCTCGTGAGCTGCCCTTTCTTAAATGGGAACTCTCAAGCCCGATACATTTACAGGTGGATTTGCACCCAACTAGTGCGGCAAGGCCCTTGGAACACCTGAGAACTTTTCCCTAAATAAAAAGGTAAAGGTTCCCTTGCTCGAAAGCCAGTTGAGTCCGACTCTAGGGTCGCGGTGCTCATCTCCGTTTCAAAGCCGAAGAGCCAGCGCTGTCCGAAGACATTTCCGTGGTCATGTGGCCGGCATGACTAAACACCAAGGCACACGGAACGCTGTTACCTTCCCACCGAAGTGGTCCCTATTTATCGACTTGCAATTTCTTGCTTTCGAACTGCTAGGTTGGCAGGAGCTGGAACTAGAGACGGGAGCTCACTCCGTCATGCGGCACAGTCGGGTCTCGAACTGCTGAACTACCGACCTTTCACAGCCTGCAGTTCAGCGTCTTAACCACTTGAGCCACCGCAGCTCCTAAATAAAAAACTGACCACTAAAAGAGTGAACAGAAGAGACTGTCATAAATCTGCTCATCGGGGCCGATTACATCAGCCTCACGGACTGAACTTTCAAAGCTGCTGAATGCTGAAAAGGGCCTGCACCTTCTCTATTCTGGGCGCCGAAGAGGCCTTCGAACATGGCTACTCACTTGTCCAGATCCTCCCGGGCCACGGCCATGTGGTAGGCCGTCTCGAGGGTCAGCACCCCCTGGAAGAGCTGCAACGCCAGGGGCAGGTTGGAGTCCACGTTCTCGATGGCGTAGAGGGCCGAACAGACGCAGTCCGAGGCGGCTTCGTGAAGATTCGACGACGTCTTGTCCTGTTGCTGGGAGGCGACAGAGCATAAGCCGGCTTAGACAGCCTGCAGGGGAGGGGGGACCGCACTGTCTGGCTGCCAACCTTTGGGGCTGCCTCTCTTGCCACAGCTTCGATGGTCAGCTACATCTCCCTTCCTCTACGATTGTTAATGTCAGGACTGATTGATCGATTTTATTGGATTTCTACCCTGCCTGCCCCACATAGCAGGCTCAGGGAGGGTTCCATCAATTCCCACAGACAAAAACTTAAGAACAATTAGAATACGACAGTAAAAATACAAACTAAATTCCGGTGTGTTTTTCAGATTGGGGAAGTTTTTTGGACCGGGGTTCCGAGTTAGTAAACGCAGAACTAACCTGCTGAAGGGGAAGCCCGATAGAAGAGGGGACACCCGCCCCCTCAACTGAAAGTCTGGCGCAAGAGCTCCGTCTTGCGGGCCCTGCGGAGCTGTACAAGGTCCCGCGGTCCCCTGATCTCGTATGGGAGCTCACTCCACCAGGTGGGGGCCAGGGTCGAGAAGGCCCTGGTCGAGGCTAGTCAGACGTCCCTGGGGCCGGGGACTGCCAGAAGATGTTGCTTCGTGGACCTTAGTGTCCTCCGAGGCCCTATGGGGAGAGGGGGTCTCAACGGTAGTATGTAGGTCCCTGGCCATAGAGGGCTTGGAAGGCAAGCTCCAGCACCTTGAAACGGTACTCAATAGGCAGCCAGTGCAGTTTGCACGACACAGGGATCACTTAAGTGACCAGAATGGCTGAGTGCCAGGGGATACCCAGGAGCAATGTTCCCTCTAAGCTGAGTTAGTGTGAGCTAGCTCACAGTTCTTTAGCCTCCGGCTCACACATTTTTGTCTTCGCTCAGGAAGGGATGGCTCCAGAGCGGTGTTCCCTTTCAGCTGAGTTAGTGTGAGCTAGCTCGCTGTCTTTTAGCCTCTCGGCTCACACGTTTTTGCCTTAGCCCAGGAAGGATGGCTATTGAAGAAGAAGAAGAGATTGGATTTATACCCCGCCCTTCACTTGGAGTCTCAGAGCGGCTTACAAACTCCTTTCCCTTCCCCTCCCCACAACAGACACCCTGTGAGGGAGGTGGGGCTGAGAGAACTCTGACACAAACTGCTCTTTTTCAAGGACAGCTGTGCCAGAGCTTGTGACTGACCCAAGGTCACATCAGCAGGTGTGAGTGGAGGAGTGGGGAATCAAACCCGGTTCTCCCAGATTAGAGTCCGCGCTCTTAACCACTACACCAAACTGGCTCTCCAGAGCAAACTAATTTGTGCAGCAGCCAGATCGCTCGCTCGCAACTCGCGGGGAGGGCGGGGTAAAAATGCCAAAATAAATAAATAATAATTAAAAAATAATGCCGGTAGCTCACAAAGTAGAATTTTTGCTCATGGGACTCCACAGCTTAGAGGGAGCTGTTCTTCCCCCAGATGTCAAATTCTACAAATTGTCAGAAGCCAGGCAGGAAACGGAGACCACGATGCGGACCGCATACCCGTCTGCCTCTGCCCATTCATATTCACTGCCCGAAGGTGTTCAAAGCACTACATTGGGCCGAGACCTGCTCGAAGGATGTCTTTGCCGGGTGGCTGCAAACCCGCTTGCCAGGGGCAAGCGCCTCCGGCCCTCCGACAAAGAGGAGGAGCGCGGCTGTTGGAGAGCTCTCCCCGTGCCGACACTTAGAACAGGCAACAAGAAGCAGACGACTCTTGCGTGGCTGCTGATCTGATCCGAAGCCAGGGGGGAGAAACCAGAGCAAACCAACCCCTTCGCCCCTCCAGTCCTCAGACACGTGCAAGGGCCATGAAAAAGCAGAGGGGGTCTTACCTGACTCTTCCTAGACATTCGGAGAAGGTGCAAAGCCCCTCCTACCCTGGGTCTTACATTCCTTGTACCCCAGAGCAAATGCGAGAAACCCCTGCCTCCTCTCCAAGCCCTTTATACATTCTCAAGGACTTGGGGGTGGGGGGGGAGCATCAACGATGAGCACAAACAGATGGGGTGGGCTAGTAAGCCAAGCCGAGCTTTGGGGACCCTGAGCTCGGCGTCAAGTCAAAAGTAAGAGGATGCAGCTGCGGCTTCCCGAAAGTCCTTCCAACCCTGCCCCAAGCAATCAATCGCTTACCGCTTCGTCCAGCTGCCCGTCATGCAACACGCAAATAGTTAAAGACAACAACGGACGACGGAGTCAAAGAGCTGCTGTGATCAATGAAAACACTCCAAAAATGGGCTGCGTGCCAAAGACCCCCAAACGTTATGAAAGTGATACCAATAAAAATTAACAACTGAAACTTCTATTGAAAATAACACAACACTTTAGTACATACCCTGTTTCCCCGAAAATAAGACCTACCCCAACAATAAGCCCTAGCAGGATTTCTATGCATTTGTGGTATAAGCCCTAGTGTGTCTTCTTGAGAAAAAATAAATATAAGACAGTGTCTTATTTTCGGGGGGAAACGGTAATAACACCAATACTAATAAATACACAAGTTACAAGAACTTTCCGTCTTTGAATGTTATCAGGCTGTGCCGAATTGACTATGGAGTATATGTTCCTTGTTTGATGTAGTGGTTAGGAGCGTGGACTCTAATCTGGGAGAACCGGGTTTGATTCCCCACTCCTCCACTTGCACCTGGCTGGATGACTTTGGGCAAGCCATGGTTCTGATAAGAGCTGTCCTTGAAAAAGAGCAGTTTCTGTCAAGAGCTCCCTCAGCCCCGCCTACCTCACAGGGTGTCTGTTGTGTGGAGGGGAAGGGAAAGGAGTTTGTAAGCCGCTCTGAGACACCTTTGGGTAGTGAAGGGCAGGGTATAAATCCAGTCTCCTCTTCTTCTTCTTCTTGATGAGTATATAAGCTTTATATCCCGGACGGGAGACCAGGAGGTTATCACCCAGGCTACTCCTGTGGGAGGCTTGAAAAAATTTGCTCATGGTTTCGTTCAATACAGAAATATCGTTTTGTAATAGCGACTGAGGAAGAACCTTTAAGGAAACGAGGGAAGTAAACTGGGACCTTGTAGCTCTGTTACTGGCATCTCTACCCCACACTGTTGATGTTATTTTTCCTCATTGTGATTGTTACGTCTTCATGTAATTCTTCTGTATGTGTTTATAGGATGTCCTAGCTATTTCTTTATTGGATTAGATCCTTTTGGATTAGTTGGCAACTGGTATCTTGTAACTGGTGTATTTATTAGTATTGATGTTATTATCTACTAAAGTATTGTAATTATTTTCTTTTCTTTTTTTAACAGTTTATTTTCATTTTTTAACATAACATAACATCACATCATATAATCCTTCCATATCAGCACATTCCTCTCTTATCTTTGACCTTTTCTGCTTTTCCTTGTCCTTAATTAATCCCATTTCAGTTCGGTTTAGTCTTCATCCCTTCTTATACACAATCATCAAACTTCTATTACAATATCTTTAATTTTTAACTAGCCTAGTTTCATTTCTATTCTATCTTTCCCATCTTTAGCCAGTCATAGATTATTTTCCATCTATCCCAGAAGCAGTCTTGAGATTTATTTCGTAATTCCATCTTTAATTTATCCATTTCTGCTACTTCCAAGATTTTGTGTTTATTGGATTAGATCCTTTTGGATTCGTTGGCAACTGGTATCTTGTAACTGGTGCATTTATGAGTATTGACGTTATTATCTACTAAAGTGTTGTAATTATTTTCAATAGAAGTTTCAGTTGTTAATTATTATTGGCAGTGTTCTCTCTAAACTGAGTTAGTGTGAGCTAGCTCACAGTTTTTTAGCCTCCGGCTCACATGTTTTTGTCTTAGCTCAGGAAGGAGGGCTCCAGAGCAAACTAATTTATGCAGTAGCCAAATCACCTGCTCACAACTTTAATGCCAGTAGCTCACAAAGTGGAATTTTTGCTCACAGGGCTTCACAGCTTAGAGGGAACATTGATTATGGGTATGACTTTCGTAACGCCTGGGCGTCGTGCAACACGCGGCCGTTCAGGGGACTGGAAGACGTACCAGAACCTCGAAGAGCAGCGACAGCAACTTGCTGTTGGCCATGAAGGTGCTGTCCAGGACCCCGAGGTTGAACCAGCTTCCCAGGCAGCGGAAGATCTTGATGAGCATCTTCTCATCGTTGCCGGCCTTCCCCACGCAGGTCACCTGCACAGACACAGAAGGAAAGGTAAGGTAAAGGTTTCCCTTGCTCGAAAGCTAGTCGAATCTCTGTTTCCAAGCCGAAGAGCCGGCGCTGTCCGAAGACTAATGGGGTCTGAACTTCCTGATATGGAGAGGGGGGAAAGATGAACGTGTCAACCCCGTGTGCTGCAGTGGTGAAACGGGCAAACTCTATGTTAGGGCTTTGTAGGAAAGGGAATGAGAATAAAAGGGCCAATATTGTACTGCCGCTGGATAGATCTATGGTGCAGTCTCATTTGGAATACTTTATACAGTTCACCGTCATCTCAAAAAGTGACATTGCGGAGCTGGAAAAAGTACAGAAGAGGGCAACCAAGATGATAAGGGAAGGCTGAAGAGACGGAGACTTCTCAGTTTAGAAAAGAGACAACGGGGGGGGGCATGAAAGAGGTTTATAAAAGTATGCATGGGGATGGAGAGAGCTGACAAAGATAACTTTTTCTCCCACACCCAAAATACTAGAAATCAAGGGGATCCAGTGAAGCTGGTGGGCAGTAGGTTCTGGATAGACAAAAGGAAATACTACTTTACACAGAGAATGATTAAAATGTGGAATTCGCCACCAGAGGATGTAGTCATGGTCACAGGGATAAACAGCTTTAAAAGGGGATTAGATAGATTCATGGAGGTGAAGTCTATCAATGGCTACTAACCATGGCAACGGAGGGGGACCTCCGCGTAAGAGGCACTAATCCTCCGAATCCTAGAGCCAGGAGGCAGCATCGGGGAAGGCCCCAGCCTCTATACCCTGTTGCTGGTCCACCGGAGGAACTGGCTGGCCACTGTGTGAGACGGGATGCTGGACTAGATGGATTGCTGGCCTGATCCAGCAGGGCTCTTTTTAGGTTCTTAACAGAGGTGGGAACTTCCTGGGGAGAGTGTCTTGGAGGGGTGCCTTGCAAACTGGTGGGGGGGAGCTATGGGGTAGGGGGGGCTCTAAGGCAACTGCCCTCTGGCCTGAAGAATATCCAGTTCCCCACTCTGGTCTCTCCTATAGATTCTTTTTACCCCAGCTGCCCCACAATCCAATTAAAAGGGTGATGCAAGCTTTAAAACAAAGGACTGGTAGCACGTAATGTGCTCCCTAAAGGTCTCTTATTTCAAAACCTGATCGACTGAGGCTGTGCTTATATGTGAGGTGAACAGAGACCCCTGCTTTTTAAGATTTTTGACTTACTATTCATAGTGTCTTCACATGATGTTCTATGCCATGACTTCATGGCAAATTGATTTGTTTGTATGCCCGGGACGGGACTCTCCAGTAAAATCGATGAGGATACAAACTAGTATTTGAAATCATGGCATGGAATATCATGTGAAGACACTGTGAATAGGAGGTTTTCAAGAGAGACTACCACGGTGCCAATGTTCCCTCTAAGCTGAGTTAGTGTGAGCTAGCTCATAGTTTTGTAGTCTCTGGCTCACACATTTTTGTCTCCACTCAGGAAGGAGGGCTCCGGAGCAAACTAGTTTATGCAGTAGCCAAATCATTCGCTCACAACTTTGATGCCAGCAGCTCACAAAGTAGGATTTTTGCTCACAAGACTCCACGGCTTAGAGGGAACAATTCATGGTGCTTCAGTGTGTTTGGATGAAGTTGTGAACGAAACGAAAATCAACTCCGGGGTGTTTCATCAACCTGCTTGTTTTTTCCTGTACTTTTGGTGTGTTTATGGAAGAAAGAATACGTAACAAATGTGGAAGTGTTATTAGCTATGATAAAATAACATTGTTAAAATGCAGTAGAGAAATTGTATTTCATTTCATCCTAAGCGCTGAGTTGTCAGCCTGTTTTCCGGTTTGTTAGTTGTCTTGGGCTGTTACCATTTATGTTATTTAAGATTTTTTTTTACTTGACAGACAAGACACAGGTGGAGATGGATCCAGTTTACACCGGCAAGGCGGGATATAAACTGAAAGTAAAATACATAAATAAAACCAAGGTTTAACAGAAAATAAAGTGTTTTTAATTAGGTCGATATGACGTGTGGATAACTTAGATACGTGAACAAACAAGAGCCAGAGTCCAGGAGCTCCTTGAAGACTAACAATATTTGTGGCAGGGGAGGAGATTTCGGGAGTCACATAGCTCACTTCTTCAGATAACGGGTATCTGAAGAAGTGAGCTATGAGACGCCCGAAAGTTCCTCCCCTGCCACAAATTTTGTTAGTCTTCAAGGTGCTCCTGGACTCTTGCTCTTTTCTGCTGCTACAGACTAACACGGCTACTCCATCTTATATCTTAGATATATAAAGTAAAACTGGCTCGCAAACAGTGCTCCCTCTAAGCTGAGTTAGTGTGAGCCAGCTCACGTTTCTTTAGCCTCCGGCTCACACATTTTTTGCCTTGGCTCAGGAAGGATGGCTCCGGAGCAAACTAACGGATGTGGTCGCCAAGTCGCTCCCTCACAACTTTAATGCCAGTGGCTCACAAAGCAGGATTTTTCCTCGCAAGACTCCACAGCTCAGAGGGAGCACTGCTCTCAAATGAAATAAATAATCCCTGAGGGGATAAGATTCAGGAGGGTAGCCATGCTGGCCTGAAGCGGCAGGACAAAGTTTGAGACCAGTGGCACCTTTTAAGACCAAAAGAGCTTAAAGGTATAAGCTTTTTGTGGGAAAGCACGCTTCTTCAGATACAGCGGAAAAACAAAAGTAAATAACCCCTGAGGGGATATCTGATTCCCGCTTTTTCTGGAGAGGTTCCCTCAGCGGGTTCAGGGCTGCCCTTTTCCCTCACGGAGCCCCTTTCCACAGAACCGGCATGCGCCAGTTAGGAATGAGGGGCTCTCAACAGGGTGCTTGTTTGTCACACTAAAATAAGCTTTCTTCCCTCAGCCGACTCCCAAACCCTACACCAAAAAAAGGCCAAATAAAAGCCTGGCTAAGGCGAGGCTTATACAGAGCCGCCAAAATCCCCTGTCTGAGGCAAAAAACGGGTTTTCCCTCCTTTTTTACGCCAAGACTGCCCCCACCCAGCAGAGTTCCCTGGGCTCTGATTGGCTGGCAATCACGTGGCTTGGCATGAGGCCTAAATCACGGGGGATTGGTTTGGAGCCCTGGAAGAGAGGCGGGACTTTGAAGGACTGCCAAACTGGCTCGCTTGCCAGAGTCATTCAGAGACCCTCGCCTGACCACAGCCCAACCGGGATGAGAACAACAGCTCTGCAGGGCGCAGGGGACAGCTCAGTGGGGTCTTTTGGTCCCTGCCAATCTCTGAGAAAATTCGGCACTATGTCCTTCCCGCCAGTAGCCATGCTGAGAGTGTAGTGGTTAGGAGTGCAGACTCTAATCTGGGAGAACCGGATTTGATTCCCCACTCCTCCACATGCAGCTGCCGGTGTGACCTTGGGTCAGTCACAAGTACTCTCAGAGATGTTCTCTCATGAGCAGTCCTCAAAAGAGCTCTCTCAGCCTCACCTACCACATAGGATGTCTGTTGTGGGGAGGTGAAAGGGAAAGGAGATTGTAAGCCGCTCTGAGACTCCTTCGGGTAGTGAAGGGCGGGGTATAAATCCAATCTCTTCTCTTCTTCTTCTGCTTATTTCAAGAAATCGACACGGATAAGAGACATGATAAAGTGTCTCTGACCATGCATGGAGCTCCTTCTCTTCAAAAGAAAGAGGAGGAGATTGGATTTATACCCCGCCCTTCACTACCCAAAGGAGTCTCAGAGCAGCTGACAAACTCCTTCCCCTTCCCACAACAGACACCCTGGGAGGTAGGTGGGGCTGAGAGAGCTCTGAGAGAAACTGCTCTTTTTTAAGGACAGCTCTTGTCAGAACTATGGCTTGCCCAAGGTCATCCAGCAGGTGCAAGTGGAGGAGTGGGAAATCAGACCTGGTTCTCCCAGAATAGAGTCCACGCACTTCACCACTACACCAAACTGGCTTAGGAATCACAGCAGTCAAATGGACAGTCTAGAAAAACACTGAACAAAAACGCTTAAACATAACTCATCAACAATGTAATGTAATGCAATAAAGAATTCTACCAAACAATTATAGTGATATGTTATATCAGCCAGTTTGCAAACAATGAACATATTACAGGATAGTGGGTAAGCTAGTGTTACTATGGTACTTACGACATTACAAGTTTATACGTGCCTTGTAGACTGGTCTATGGGTTGTTGTTATCATTTTTTAGATTGCCAGTATTTCTCTGAGGAAGAACTCTGTTCAAAACTAGAAGAACTATATCCGGAAATCTCATCCCAGTGTCTTCTTCACTCGTCTCTTTGACATTAAAGGAACTGCGTCCTTTTCGACAACAGAGCTGTCTGTTCCCATTAAGTGGGTGTTGTAATGATTACATTTTTGTACCGTAGTATATGAATTGTCTGTTTCTTAGTAAAAGGTAAAGGTTTCCCTTGCTCGAAAGCCAGTCGAGTCCGACTCTAGGGTTGCGGTGCTCATCTCCGCTTCAAAGCCGAAGAGCTAGCGCTGTCCGAAGACGTTTCCGTGGTCATGTGGCCGGCATGACTAAATATCAAGGCCCACGGAACGCTGTTCCCTTCCCACTAAAGTGGTACCTGTTTATCGACTTGCAATTTCTTGCTTTCGAACTGCTAGGTTGGCAGGAGCTGGAACTAGAGACGGGAGCTCACTCCGTCATGCGGCACACTCGGGTCTCAAACTGCTGAACGACCAACCTTCCACAGCCTGCAGTTCAGCGTCTTTACCACTTGAGCCACCGCAGCTCCTACTGCATGCGTTACCTTGCTCTTAATGCAGTTCTGCGTACTTCTTGAGCGTGCAAAGCCAAGGAAATAATCTGTGCTCAACAGTAAACAACCACAAGTCTTAAACAACTGTATCGAAATGTAATAAGGATATAATAAAGAGGACAGAGTCTAATGTAATACAAACGTAATGAAATTAAATATAACAAGGCGTGTTTTACATACCACAGGACATAGATATATTTAAACTTTATCAACTCATACACCAGAAACGCCAATA